TACTAATACCTGATGTAGAACTAGTCTAAAATATGTGGAGTAGAGACAACGAAGAGAAACTCAAATGTACCATACAAGACCAGAAGCAGTAGTTATTGTTAGGAAAAGTCCAAAGCCTTATATCGACTTCACAATACAAGATGAATTTCAAAGAACTACATTTTTTGGTTCAACGTAGCATGCAACATGCATTAGCTTTAACAAATCAAAATGTCACATAAGCAGATACCAATTGCATAAATGAGACTGCAACATACCATCATGGGGAATCCAATGACTACAGCTCCTGCTCCACTGACTAGCACTGCCAACCCTGTAACAGCCACCGAGCTAGCAGCATCCCCATACTTGCCCGCAGCATGTGCTGCAAGGCCCAAAACAAACCCAGCCACGCGTGCCGAGGGGGGGCATGCAGCAGCCGCACGTCTCAGTCCGCAGTCCGCCTCGTGGCCGCCCATCCCGTTGCGCGGGTGCGTGCCCAGTCGGCGCGCCAAGATCTGTGGCTCCGAGCTCGGCGCCATGTATTCTGGCGTCGAGGTACCGGCCACGTCAACACCACCTAGGATGCCCTGCTCAGACACCTCGGAGCCAAGATCTGTGGCGCTGAGACGTGTTACCTTGGCGCCATGAGTCCTGGCGCCGACCCCCAGGATCTAAAGATGAGTTTACGTCTCCCAGGGAGCTAAACGTAAATTTTCTTTTAAAAAAGGGTCAAATTATAACCACTTTGGTTGGTGTTTGGTTACAGGACATCTAGAAATATACCGCACATATTCAGGGTTCACCTTTCCCCTGAAAATGGACAGACGGGGACATCACCGGTGTGACGAGTCACGAGCGGAAAGAGAAGGCGTTAGGAAGAAGAGACATGCGGGTGCGTCGGCAAGGCGATCGCCAGCCGTGGGCATGAAGGCTTGCTTCGGGTCAGGGCGTTAGGTTAGGCGACCCGCACACGCATGAGAGACGCTGCGCTCCAGGCATACGGCCGCACGCGCAGGCAGCGGCGGACCCAGAAAATATTTCAGGGGGGGCTAAACAACACTGTTGTTCGATCTTAAGTCTCAGCCCCCCTACACTATAGAACTTTGCCTAAAAATTCATGGGGCTCCACAGGGGGTTCCACTGCTGCGATATGGGTAGGGGGGCTTGAGCCCCCCCCCCTCCCCAACTGTGTCCGCCCCTGCGCGCAGGCGAGGCAGGTGCCGCTCGGCGAGATCCACCGCCTGTGCGGCTGGGAGGGCGAGCTCCGTGCGGGCAAGCGCTGCGCTCCCGGCACTGGCGCGCAGCCGTGTGGTCGAGCGTCTCCCCTGGCTCCGGCGTGCGGGCGAGAAGGAGGCGTGGGGGCACTGTTTGTGATGGATCCACGACGCGTACATTGTTTAAGTGGGACCTGACCCGATCATGGGTTGTCGTGGTAACGTCAGGCGTACTGATGAGACCAAGCCAAGGCGGACATGGCCATTGCACTGTACAGTGGAGAGGGCAAGCAAGCATGGCACCGGTGTGGAGAAGCCGTGTCCTGTAACCTCCTACGCATGGGGCAAGCAAGCATGGCACCGGTGTGGAGAAGCCGTGTCCTGTAACCTCCTACGCATGAGATGAGTTGTCGTTAAATGAATACAAGCCCATACCATTCTCAGTTTGTCGTAGCGTGGCCAATAAATACACTATATATGACATGTTTGGATTATATATGCACCAATAGGCAAGTTCTTGCATCAAGTTGCGAAGATTACAAGATGGACTAATACACACCCATTTGGATAGTTGTTGCAGGTTTGGTGCAATTTACTCTTATAAATAAGAGGTTTGTTACTGTGCTTGGGAGAAACCCAAGCAAAAAGTCGGCTGCCGTTGATCATTAAAAAATCAATTAGTTATACTCTCTTAGTCTTATATATAAGGGTACTTTAGTATTTTCCTTAAGAGACTTATCCAATCGACTCACGAACAAAATCCTCAAAACTGGAGTTCGCTGCCGGCGTCGCTGTCGCCCGCCTCCTCTGTCTTAATACTATTTAGATGGAGGAAGTTGTCAACGAAATCAGGGATAGATAGTGGTAGTGGAGTTTGCGCTTAGAACATCGGTCGCCGGCAACGAGCCAGACGCCGCCGTCGCCACGGCCACCGGCCGGGTTCGAGTACAATGATCAAACTCAAGTCCTCCTCTCCACTCTCGCCTTTACAAGGCTGGGTAGCCTGCCCGTTAACATGGGCCGTCGGTGATGCTAAGCCCATTCTGGCCCAATGACTCTCCTGTTAGAACTTCTCATTCTCTTCTTCACTTCAGACGGCCTGCTTCCTCCCGCCTTCCTTCCTTCAGAGTTCCCCATTTCAGTATCGTCAGCATCAGGTTCTTCAGGGCGATCGTCAGTGACATCCCCTCCTCCTTGAGAACCGGCTTGTCCCCAAGCCGGTGCACGGGGAAACTCTTGGCGCAGGGCGTCTTCGTCTTCCCAAGTAGATAGATCAGCCGGAAGATGAGACCTCTGAACCAGCACCTGAGGCGTGGTATGCGTGGGGTAGTGGTGAAGGCGCCTGTCCAGGATGTGGTGGGGCCTGCAACTAGAATGATGGGTCAGGTAGTGCAGATGATACCTGGTGATGAGCAGACACTGCCTTCTTCAGTTGTGATACATGAAAAACTGCGTGTATAGAACTGGTTGATGTGGTAAAGCCAAACGGTAGGCAACTGATCCAATGCGGTCAGTAATAGTGAAAGGCCCAAAGTACTTGAAAGAGAGCTTGTTGGAGGATCTGTTGGCAAGTGAAGTCTGTATATATGGCTAGAGCTTGAGGTAAACATAATCACCCACAGAAAATTGCCTGAATGATCTCTTGGTATCAGCATAGTGTTTCATCTTGTTTTGGGCCCTGAGTAAGTGCTGGTGAACCACTTGCAACATAAGATCCCTCTCCTTAAGCCACTGCTGAAGGTCCATGTTACTAGAAGTATCAGCCACCTCAATACCAAGCTGGTTTGGTTCATGACCATAGAGCACTTTGAAAGGTGTGCTGCCCAGAGAAGAATGATATGATGTGTTGTACCAAAATTCTGCTAGGGCTAACCAAGATGACCATTTAGCAGGACAAGCATGAACAAAGCATCTTAAGTAGATCTCCAAACACTGATTGACTCTCTCTGTTTGCCCATCAGTCTAAGGATGAGATGCACTGCTCATCAATAGGTCTACCTTAAGTAGTTTAAACAATTCCCTCCAAACATTGCTTGTAAAAATCTTGTCTCTATCTGAGAGTAGAGCTTTTGGAAGACCATGCAACTTATAGACTTGAGTCATATACACTAGGGCTATTTGAAATGCAGTAAAAGGGTGGGAGAGAGGGATGAAGTGGGCATACTTGGAAAATTTGTCCTCCACCACCAAAATACAAATGAAGTGTCCAGACTTAGGTAACCCTTCAATAAAATCCAATGAGACAGTCTGCCATGCTCCAGATGGTATAGACTGGGGCTAATAGCCCTGGATATGGTACCCTCTCATGCTTAGCTTGCTGACAGATTGAGCATTGAGAAACAAATGTTTGAAAAGTTTGTCTCATGTTAGGCCAGGCAAATAAACTCTTGATTCTATTGTAAGTTGCTTCCATTCCAGAGTGTCCTCCCAATGGGCTTGAGTGCAAGGCAGTTAGAATCTTGGTTTGAATTTCAACAGCATTTCCTACCCAGATCCTAGACTTAAAGTAAGGCCCCGTTTAGATCCAAATTTTTTTGAATTTTGGCCCAATGTAGCATTTCATTTATATTTGGTAATTAGTGTCTAATTATGGACTAATTAGGTTCAAAAGTTTCGTCTCGCGATTTCTCACCCAACTGTGCAATTAGTTTTTTTTTTCGTCTACATTTAGTACTCCATGCATGTGCCGCAAGATTCGATGTGACGGGTACTGCGCAAAATTTTTTGGATTCTAAACAGGCCCTAAATGATGCCTTTTTTTTTTGAGGGCTCAGTGGGGGAAAACCTCCCCACCTATTTTTTTGTATTAAAAGGGTGAAAGCAGGTACAGAAATACAGGTGCACGAGGGGTGCAAAAGGGAGCTTGCAAGATGAAACTGCCCAGAAGGAGAATGCACAGCTAACTGTTGAAGGAGTTGTTTGGACTTAGGGTCATGTTGGTAAGCCTGCTGCAGGTCTTGTAACCAAGTTGGTTGAATGAGAGAAATTGACGAGCTCATATATATCAGCATGAGTAGTTCTGGATAATGCATCTACCACTCTGTTCTCCTTGCCTTACTTGTATATTAACTTGTAATTGAGCCCCAATAGTTTGGTAAGTGCCTTGTGCTGCTAGGGTGTGGCCAGTCTCTGATCATCAATATGTATCAGGCTTTTCTGATCTGTCTTAATAGTGAACTCTGATTGCAGTAGGTAAGGCCTCCAATGATCCACTGCTAATAGAATGGCCATGCACTCCTGAACTAATGACATACCCCAGGTAGTGTAGCTACTTCTTAGAAAAGTGACACTTGGTAAGCTTGACATAGAACTGGTTGTCTTCTAGGAGTTTGAATACTTCAGCTATATGTTGAAGATGGTCTTCCCAGTTCTTGCTATAGATCAGTACATCATCTATGAACACCACAACAAACTTTCTCAGCAGAGGTGCTAAAAGATCATTCATGACCCCTTGAAAAGTTGCTGGGCCTCCTGTCACTCCATAAGGAATGACATTGTACTCATAATGTCCATTATGAGTTTGAAAAGCTGTTTTGTATTCTTCACCTGCTGCCATTCTAATTTGGTGGAACCCAGAGCACAAGTCCAGAGATGTAAACCATGTTGCACCATGTAACTCATCAAGAAATTCATCTATAACTGGCAGAGGGTATTTATTTTTCACTGTAAGTGCATTTAGCCTCCTATAATCAACACATAACCTCCAATCCCTAGTTTTCTTGCTGACTAGCAGAGCAGGTGATGCAAAAGGACTTGAGCTGGCTTGAATGAGCCCCTTCTGCAACAGTTCCTTGATTTGTCTCTCTATTTCATCCTTCTGAAATGGATTATATCTATAAGACCTGTGCCTGAAGGGTTGAGTTCCTGGCAGTAGAGGAATGGTGTGATCCTTTTCTCTCTGGGGAGGAATGTTTGGTAGAGGTTGAAAAATTGACTGATACTGACTGATGATGGCCCGAATCTCAGGAGGAATAGATTCTTCAGTCTTGGCTTCATCTACAGTATTCAACTCAAGCATATAAAGCACATAGTCCTTCTTAAGCATAGCTTGCAATTGATTCAGAGTTATTGGAGAGCCCCAAGTGGCCTTGCTCTGCAACCCTTGCAGTAGAACAGTGTTCCCCAAATACTCAAACTGGAGCCATTTATCAGCCTAGTGGATCTGCATTGGGCTGTGCATAGAAAGCCAGTCCATTCCCAACACAATATCATAGCAATGAGAGGTATTACCTTGAATGTATGACCTTGTACACTCCAGATAAAATCAGGAAGTTCATGAGTGCAGGGGATTTCATTACCATTTGCTACCCTGACTCTGACAGGCTTGTCCAAGAGTTTCTGCCCAGGTAATCCTTCCACCAGGGACTGGTTGGCAAAGCTGTGGGAACTGCCAGAATCCACCAGCATAAACACCTCCTACCCAGCCACAAACCCTCTAAACCAGATGGTCTTGGTTCTTTCAATACCATTTACTGCTTGTAGAGAAATTGCCATAAGGTCATCTCCTGAATCTTTAGTTCCTTCTTCTGTCACCGAATGTACAGCATCATCACCATCACCCAGCATTTGCCAAATTTCCTCTAGTGCATGATGGGAAACAGAAGTGGGGCATTTGTGGGTAGGACTCCATTTCTCTCCACATTTAAAACATAGACCCTTGGCTCTTGTGAAGGCCTTGAGTGCTGATAATTTGTCTTCAGGTGACTTGGGTTTAGATGTTTCACTATTTCTTTTGTCATCAGAATTTGATTGACCACCCCTGAATCCTTGATAAGAGTGTTTAGCCCCATCCACTATCTTGTTACTGTCAGTTGAATATTTTCTAACAGAACTTTGATATTCCCCCTTCTTGAACTCTCTATTGGATGAATCCAACAGAGCCTCTTCCTGCAAAAGGGCAAGGTAACTAGCAGTATCCAGGCATTGAGGTCTATGAACCATAACAACAGTGCGTATTTCTTTCTTTAATCCATCGACAAAACGACTTGTAATAATAGAAGGAGCTAAATTAGGATCATGAGCAAGCAGGTGGTATAAAATGTCACTAGATTGCTCAATGTAATCTGTAACAGAAGTGCTCTGCCTTATGTGGAATAAGGATCTGAGCAGGTGATTGTGCTCATCTTATCAAAACGAAGACAGGCTGTAGCTACCAGGTCGCCCCAAGACATGGACTCTATAGGATCTTTCAGAGTGTGAAACCACAGGGCTGCAGACCCCGACAGGTTCATGGAAGCAATCTTAACCCACATGCGAGGCTCAATAGCAAAGACATCAAAATAGGTTTCAGCCCCTTTTATCTACAATCTAGGATTAGACCCATAGAATTTAGGAAATTCCTGATTAGGCATAGCACCATGCAGAAGAGGAACAAGGACTCTCAGGTCACGGTGCATCGAATCATCACTCTTTAAGATTATACTGAGAGCTCAGATGAAGTGGTTTCGCACCTGTGACCGAAGGCGGATCCGGAGTGGTGTATCCGGCGCTCCCGTGCTGGGTTTCGCAGCGGTGGCCAAATTGCCCAGGCGACGCCTCGTACGAGGTTGACCCCAGTGAGCAGGGTCCGTCACCTTCTTGCCCGACCCAAGCTTGGGATCCGGATCGGGATGCTCGATTGTAGGCTCGCCGTCGGAGATCGCGTGCTTTGGGTTGTCTCCGAACAGCCGAGATAATTCACCGCGTGCTCGAGGTCGGCGACACGGTTGTTCACCTCCGGCTTCCACTACTCGAAATCCGTCTTCGCGGCAGTCACTTGCTCCATGGATCGTTGAAGATCGGCGATCCCCTTCGAGTTTTGAGTCAGCAACGCCAGGATCTGGCCGAGCTGTTCTTCGGGCGAAGCCATTGCCATCTGACGCCTAGTGCAGTAAGGATGATACGCCAGGATGAGGGATCTGATACCAGTTTGTCACCGGAATCAGGGATAGATAGTGGTAGTGGAGTTTGCGCTTAGAACATCGGTCACCGGCAACGAGCCAGAGGCCGCCGTCGCCACGGCCACCGGCCGGGTTCGAGTACAATGATCAAACTCAAGTTTGCTTCCTCTCCACTCTCGCCTTTACAAGGCTGGGTAGCCTGCCCGTTAACATGGGCCGTCGGTGATGCTAAGCCCATTCTGGCCCAATGACTCTCCTGTTACCTTCTCGTTCTCTTCTTCACTTCAGACGGCCTGCTTCCTCCCGCCTTCCTTCCATCATCAGAGTTCACGGCTACATCTTCAAAGTTCCCCGTTTCAGTATCGTCAGTATCAGGTTCTTCAGGGTGATCGTCGGGGACAGAAGTGCTGGCAGTAATTAGCCTACGGTTCACTAAACTAAAACCGGCTCCCGACCCATACTTAAAAGAACCGTGAATTGACTCTTTGGGTTGGTTTCATTCAGATTTTAGGCAAATAGGTCCTACAGATGTCATGAACAGATAACAAGCAGTTGTTACATTGCAGCAGCCGGGCGCTGGCCATCTTTTCCGCACTCTGTGCATTAAATCTTGTTCTGGTAAGACCCCAAAGGAATCATTGACTTCTTGATCTTGACTGCATAGTGGAATTTTGCCACTCACTGACAGCAGAAAAGCACGAAGCAGCTGCAAATCCACTGATACTGTTATGCGACGAATGGGCATGATGTTTCTCTCACGTTTTCCCAACGGTTTGCTTGTTTGAATCTTGTTTTTGCAACTACGTTTCTGAATGTCAACTTTGTTCTTTCCAATATTCTGATCAGATAAAGAGTGGGCTTCTGAAATCTTATCATGCAAGATTAGGTTGCAGCTATGGGATTCTGGAGCAGCCTGCTCATTCAGACCATCACAAACCTTATATTTTCCCAACATGGTGCCATCATCATACAGAGTGTGTTTTTGTTGGCACAACTAAATTCTTGTTGAGACTTCCAAAGGACGATTACACCAAGTAACATTACTAAGAAGGCAGATATTCATGTTGGGCAGCTGCTGCTGTTTCCTAGCCTATTATGATCTCCCATAGTATCCTCGTAGCTCAGTTAATGCACTGGAAAATCAGCAGGCAGACCAATTTTAGAACCCTTAGTATCTCTTAGGGCGTGTTTAGTTCCCTGAATTTGGGAATTTGGGCTACTGTAGCACGTTCAATTTTATTTGGCAAATAGTGTTCAATCATGGACTAATTAGGCTCAAAACGTTCGTCTCGCAATTTCCAACCAAACTGTGCAATTAGTTTTTTTTTCGTCTACATTTAATGCTCCATGCACGTATCGCAAGATTTGATGTGATGGCTAGTGCAGCACTTTTTTGGATTTTGGGTAGCAACTAAACACGCGCTTAATAATCTATTGATGGAAATACAAGGGTCATTAAATGGGAAATGTAAGGGTGTGTTTAGTTGGGGAGGTGAAAATTTTTGGATGTCACATCGGATGTGTCGGAAGGATGTCGGGAGGGGGTTTTGGATACTAATAAAAAAACAAAGTACAGAACCTATCAGGAAACTGCGAGACGAATCTAATGATACTAATTAATCGGTCATTAGCACATGTGGGTTACTGTAGCACTTAAGGCTTTTCATGGACTAATTAGGCTTAAAAGATTCGTCTCGCGATTTTGCCGAGAACTGTGCAATTAATTTTTTTTTCGTCTACATTTATTACTCCATGCATGTGTCCAAATATGCTCTTTTACTGTAGGAGGCAAAAAATTTTGGAAACTAAACATGGCCTAAGTTAAAGATCCACTTGGAATACTGCTCACGGATGGGAGTAGTGCCACCACACGAAATCGTAAAAAAATTTGCGTGCAAAGGTCTCTGACTACTAGGATCCAGCCCTGTCGTGACGCCTATATTGGGTTGCAATATGGCTATTTTGGATGCAATACAGATCAATTGCATCTATGTAAGGTCGTTGACAAGTTGTTGTATTTGGAACGGTGCAATAGCTTTTTGCATCATTTTGATGTGGTGTTGCAATATGATGGCTTTGCAATGCACAAAAAAAAGTAATGCAACCACGATATGGTTGCAAGCACGGATATTGCTATCAGCAGAATGGTTGCGTGAGTTACTGTTGCGACAAAACACGTGGCTGCAATATGACACTATTGCTATGAATGAACTTGTCGCAAAATAACTTTATTGTCACTCCATAGTTATGCGGGAATATGGCCATATTGCCATGTAGTGTGCTCCATTGCATCATAGAAATCTTGCAACATAACAAATTTGGTGGCTAGAGTCACAATTGTCACGTTCATTTGCTGGTGGTAATAGATGGGAAATGCAATGAATCATTGTTGTGAGCAATAGATGAAAAATACAACAAATCATTGTCGGTGGAAATAGATAGAAAATGCAACAAAGCATTGTTGGTGGTAATAGATAGAAAATACAATGAGGTGGTAATAGATGGAGAATACAATGAATCATTGTTGGTGGTAATAGATGAAAAATGCAATGAGTCATTGTTGGTGGTAGACACATCCTATAGCAACACATAAAGTTTGTGGCAATAATGTATATTGCAACAACAACCAGTGGCGTGATAGTTTGTTGCAATGAGGGCATTTTGGCCATCACATTTAATTTCGTTTCATAGCTAGAAATTTAATTTTTGTTACAAAATAATTGTGCCATGAGTATAGACTTCATCATCACATATAAGAACTCAAACCCATTTTGGCCAGCACATTTAATTTCGTTTCATAGATAGAAATTTAATTTTTGTTACAAAATAATTGTGCCATGAGTATAGACTTCATCATCACATATAAGAACTCAAACCTTCATTAACTTTAAATATATGTCTCAACCAAAGTAATAACACAATGACCAGAGTCCAGAGTACTGCTAAAATAAACATGACCATAGTACAATAAAAACAACATCTCTGTATACAAGTTTGCGACTATGTATGGCATAATAAAATAGAACTAAATATGAGTTCTCTTATTCAGCCTGTTCGCTTGTTGATTTCAGCTAGGACTTATCAGCCAGCTAACAATATTTTTCTCTCATAACAAACCAGCACCAGCCGGGCTTATCAGCCCAGAAACCAACCAGCGAACATGCTCATTGACCGCTTCAAGCTCCATCGCCCATCAACACTTCATTCTTCTAGCAGTCCATCACTAGCATATAGCAATAAAGCTTTCTCTAAATATTTTGGGTGTCCGCGCTTTTCTGCAACTCAGGAACACATATAGAATTTATTATTAATTTAATATAGGAACCTTGGTGATTAAGTGCATGGAATAACTAAGCACGTGCAAATTTAATGATCATAGTGACAAAGCAAAGATATAAAGTAAATTAAGGTACACGCTACAAAAATATCATATACCATTTGGGATATGAAATATAATGATCATAGTATTCATACATGTAGTTTTTTTATTTGATTACGAGTCCTCAATAGTTGTTGGGAAGAAATTACATGATTCAATGACCCATTGACATCATTCTTTTTTTTGGAAAAGAGGCCTGGTTGCACTAATCTTTGTTGTCATGGTAGTACCTTCATCAGCTACCTTTTTCTATGGTCAACACGCTTGCTGGTCTATTATTCTGCCAAAATGAACGCTTTGATGTAAACAAGTTGCATTTTATATGTAAACATGCTGCATCATTTGTAAGTAATCTTGTTGCATTTTTATTACCTCTATAGCTGCATCCTCTATGTGTGGTGGTGTGATGAAGTTGTTGTCGACACTTGGGCCATTTGGAAGCTGTGTGGTGTTGATGGTTCCTGTGATAGCCTGTGCAGCCCAAAAGACAAGGAACATTAGTTAAAATAGAGGAGCCAAAAAAAGGAGAACCGTGTTCCAAAGTTAGTACCTGCTGCAATGCCAATTATATTTGTTGTTGTAGTGTTGACAGGAATTCTTCCCTGATTTCTTCAATTTGTTTCATACTTTCTTCCTGGTCTCTTTCCCTTGCTGAAACTTCATTTGCAAGCTTTTCTTTTAATTCTTCAACCTCTTGTTGGTGCTGCATTCTTTCTTGTCGGGCTAAAACTTCACTGCGGGCTGCATCTTCTTCTCTGTGCTTCAGTAGAGCACTTCGTGTTGGATATTTCGCCATGTATCCGCGTCCATGGCATCTGTATGATTTTGTTCCAAGAGTTTTAAAGTAGTTGAGTTGGAAAACTGTGTTTTCCTCCTCAACCATAAGGAAGGGCCTACCCTTTCCCTTTTTTGCCGCTGTAACTTGGATGCAGGCATTTTCCTAAGTGAAACATGAGAAATAAATTAGGATCATGTAATTTCAAACAGTTCCAAAATAAGTTTGAAACATGTTGTAATTTTAAAGCTGCAATCATATACAAGCACTCACGTAGACATCCCTAGAGTCGTCATTTGACCATTGCCCATCCTTGGTGGTGTGAGTCGTCATCCAAAGTTGCAAATCAGTAGGTTGTTGACCATTAGTCTGGTTTCTCTGAGATGGCAACAATATAATGTAGCATTAGGTAACGACCATATATTTAAGTAAGTAATCAGCTTAATTAATGTTGTCATCACCTGTTCAAAACTAATTTGGGAAAATAGTTTCGATCCCATGAGATGCTTAGTCTTCTGTTTCTGTCGGTTTCTAGAGTTCTTGGTGCTAATATTCTGCAAAAGTGTACAAGCAGAGCAATGTTATTTACATTGTATTTAGTAGTGGAATTACAAAAGAAACCGGACACCAACGAACCTGGAATCTCTCACTTCCAAAATATTGGATCAAGTAATACCACTCCACGTTGTCTAAATCTTCAGGCTTATGCTTCATTCGTTGATCGTCAGTGGAGTATGCCTTGTATGTCGAACTAAATGAAGCTCTCCATCCTTTGTACCTCTCTTTGGCAATTGCACATATCTTTTCACTATCATCTTCAATGTCATCTAAGTCCCAAATTTTTTGTTTGAATGGAAAGACAAATAGAACAATAAAGCAGAGGTACTGAATTCATAACATTTGGCTAATGAAAACAATTGACTCACCAGCATCTCATCTACTATTGCTATTTTCACAACGTCCTTCACGTCCTTCCACGATTGCACTCCTATAAGTGGAGCCTTTTTCCTAGCAAACACTACAATCTCATCAACGAATGTGCGGCTGTTCTCACCATAGGGGCCTCTCGTCAAGGAATCAAATTCGATCTTTAATTTCTGAGAGCCGCTCTTAATTCTCTTGATAGTTGCTTTGAAGCCTTTGAGACATCCATGTCCACGAGTTTTGGATCCACCTTATTAACATATGAAACGAATATAATATACGTGACCAGCAAAAGAGTTTTGAACGTACAATGCAAAATGGAAGGACCAGCACATACCATTCTCTTGTTGTTTTGGCTTTCTTGCATGAGCTGGCCTATCTTTGTTTGTCGTGCTCCTTTCCTGATTTCCCTCCCCACCAGCTAAATGATTTTCATTCGCATGTTCTTCCAATAATGACACTAGAAAAAATAAATCATCATGTGTCAATTATTTTATTGAATGCACAAGAGCTGGTAATATATTTGATGACATGATGAAAGCAATTTAATTACGCATATGTCGACGACGGCCTGTATGCCTTAGCCATTCCTTGTATGTTTCAATTGTTTCATCCCTGAAGTCATCCATGTAGTCTGTGAGTCATGATTAACAAGATGTATTTGTCAAAGCAACATTGTGTTATAACAATTTGAATGAGTGATGCAAAGAATGATCTTACTTATGTCTGGATCTTTGGCTCGCAATTTTGCTAGCCACACCTTGTAGGCATCAAGGTGTTCATGTGTACCTGATTGATCATGTTTTCGCTTCCCCCCATGTCACTTAATGGGTGTTATGCTGGTGTTATGCTGACATTTTCCTCCAGTTCCGGCTCC